TAATTTCAATTGAGTTTTCCTCCATGGCTCTTTCCTCCATTTTATTTTAGAATTACTACAGACAACATAACACAACAAAACAAGGGCAACCTTCAGAACTGTCATGAGTGAGATTAGATTAAAAGATAGATTATAATTTACTGATAAAACTTTTATGTAACTCTTTAGAGTGAGTTAAAATGCAGCTCTACTTTTAAGTTCTGATGAAAATTCTATGTTTAAGTTTTTTATGAATAAATGTGAACTACACTGCAAAAGTATTGTTGTAAAAGCCTCTGAGCCAAATTTATTTAAAACAATGTTTTTTTGCCATTGATTTTATGGGAACATATTTAGTTACCAGTACTTATGTTGAATTTTATTGGGTTCAATTTTTATATAACTCAAATTAAATTAACTGTGTTTAAAGTTTCTTTAACATTTTACGTTTTATTTTTATTGGGAGTGTTGCACGGCGTCCAAATGACGTCTAAGTCAGTGTCACAACATCCAAAATATACATTATTTTTAGATGTCTCATGACGTCCAACATAAACTAATCAAATGTTGCACGACCTCCAAATCTCCCCATGTCCAAAAGTACAGTAAATGCAATAAATATAGTCTTTCTACAAGCTCTGGACATCATGGGATTGGTCATCGTGCAACAGCGCAGTTCATACTCTTAAAACACTAGGTGAATCCCGTCGAAATCGACGGTTACTCTTGAGATTTTACATAAATTCAGCTAACTGCGATGGATAGAATGAATTAAGTTATTAAAATGTTAGTAAAATGAAGGGAAGATAAACATAATTATGAGTAAGACAATTGCGTACCTTAAAAACGTGGTTAATGAACTCGTTGAATTCAATATTTTCTGTCCTTTTATCGGCTTTAGGTTACCCAAAAGGCTTTTCAGGAGTCTTACAATTGTTTCTTGTTCATGACTTTTGTTCATGTTAAAGCCTCTATCACTATATGGGGAAAGGAGATAATATAATTGGTCTGTCATCTGACGGAAAGAGTCAGATATTACTAATATAATTGGTTCCATCTGCTTTAGGGAAATCATTCAGATCGTATTTGGATTGTATAAGTGAATCCATCTTTTTGGTCATAAAAATACAGAATTTAATCAGCGAGAGGCATATTGAATCAGTTTTTTTTTATTTGATAAAAATATCTGATTCTCCAGAAAGCAGTAACATTCTTACTTCAATGGGGGTCTAAACAATTTTGATTCCTTCTCTTGCCACATCGACCAATGTATTTAATCTAAATGTACTTATTTAAATTGATTAACTTCTGGCATAGTTTTGTGAAATCATGCCATGAGGTTGCTGTCAAACTTAAACTTTATTGATACGCGAGGGTCAATTGCCTTGGCCGTATGGATCACATAAAGTTGTGCATGTATTTTGTGGGTGGGATGGACCATAATTGTAGCGAATTTGGCCACAAATCTTGAACATTTGTGGAACCACATCCATAACCTAGTTCCGTTTTGTTGGCAACAAATTATGCAAATGAGATGAGATGTGATGGCACTGTTTTACCTGAATTGCCTTTAATTCACCTACTTCACCAAAACCATACTCCGTGGTAAACACTTGAACACATCTCACATCCTTGACGTACTCCTCTACACTTGCATGGCTTTTATTCTAAGACACAATTTTCTACCCGATTATCAAAAACTTTTATGCTAACAATCTCACAAATCTCTGACGTTCTTTTGTGAATGTAATGATAAATGATTATTGAAAGTAGACCAAAAAAGGCAAGCGCCAACCCCTACAATAAATATAAGCTAACCCGATAAGGAACAATTATCTGATCCTTTGAAATTGATATGTCCCAGTGATTTCATAATACAACATTGTATAAGTGCATTAAAACATAGAATTTTGAACAAAAAAATTAAACGTACCCGGTACCTATCATAAATCCATCATGTTATTCAAACTATAAAAAAAAATTTCCACACAGTAGAAAATCAGTTTTAAAATCATAAATAATAATGTAAACATTTCATTTTGACAAATTCAGTAAATGCTCATTTTTGTCCTTTGTAATACAATTTTAATATTAACAGCTGGTTCATTAAAAGTAGTGTAACATTACCGAAACGGCACACGGAAGATTTCTCAGGTGCCGTTTGACGTCACCTGCTGACATCACTTTGAGAGAACACCAATACCGCAACGATACAGATTTGAGCCATCGGCCTCGGTGGTGCAGTGGATAGCGTTGCGGGCTGATAATCCGAATGTTCCGGGTTCGAATCCCGCCGGCGGCACTAACTTTTTATCATCAATTTTTTCACATCAGCAAGTTTGGTTGGTTTGGTTAGGTTATGATAGTTTAATTTTATAATAAAAAATTATAAAATTGAATTTTAGGCAATTATAATTTTATTTTATGAACAAAACTATTTTTTAGATTAGTAAACCTTTATTCGATTTTTCCATTATCAGCACGTTTGGTTAGTTTGGTTAGGTTATGACAGTTTAATTTAATAATAGAAAATTATAAAATTGTCTGTTTCTTCAGACGCAGCAGTTAGTGACGTCAGCAGTTAGTGACGTCAAACGGCACCTGAGAAATCTTCCGTGTGCCCCACCGGTAACATTACCATACAGTCTTTTGTAAACAAATCTGCCGTGGGAACTTTAAAGGCCTCTGGGGCCTGAGCCCCAAGGAAATTTACCTCGTTTTTCTTTTAATGGCTCATCTACAGACCAAGACCTTTCTTTAGAGACCCCCAGCCATTCTATGCCCAGCCGTTCTCTCATATTAGCTGTGACAAAAAGCTAGTTTTCCTCCATAAGAATAACATGGGATGGAAATTTAAAGGCCACTGGGGCGGAGCCCCAAGGAATTTACAACGTTTCTCTTTTGATGGCTCATCTACAGACCAAGACCTTTCTTTAGACACCTCTACCGAGTTTCTACGCCCAGCCATTCTCTGATCAAATTAGCTGTGACAAAGAAAAACAGTTTCAAATTAATATATAGATAGCAGTAGCACCACGTCCAAAGCTGCTGCCAGTTACACAATGTCCAATAGCTCAGCGCTGTTGCACGACGTCCAGAGCTCCTGCATACGGAGCTAAGGTTAGGTTAGGTTAGTATGCACTATAGATGGTAAAGCAGTATTCACAGTGTGCAGGCACTCTAGACGTCGTGGTACAACGCAGAGCTATCGGACGTCGTGCGACTGGCAGCGGTTTTGGACGTGGTGCTACTGCTTTTTAAGAATATAAAGTGAGCTGTTGCAAGATGACCAATCCCATGACGTCCAGAGCTTGTAGAAAAACTATGTTTATTGCAGTTACTGTACTTTAGGACATGGGGAGTCAAATATTGTATATTGGACGTTGTGAGACAGCTCAAGAATTATATTTTGAACGTCATGACACTGACTTGTATCATTGGACGTTGTGCCACTTGGATGTCGTGCCATGCTACCTTCTTATTTGCCTGATTTACTGCAATGTTGTTAAGTTAAGTTAGTATCTTTACTTTCTCCCCCTATACATAGTATATGGAGAAAGTATTGCTTTTGTCAAAATTTGCGAGTCTGAGTGGATATATCCGTTTTGGGTCCCCCTGAACCCAAAAAAGTGGATTTTGAAGTGATGTCCGTCCACGTGTGTGTATCTGTGTACGGAGCTACATACCACACATATGGTCTGATGATGATAAAATTTGGTATGTACCCCATAGTATCCCCAGGAATTTTTTTATTTTTTTAAAATTTTGATTTTTCCATAAAACCTATAAAATCAAATTTTCTCTAAAACGACTCACACAATTTTGATAGACTTTTAGTATCTTATATTTCTTTGAATTCTGAACAAAATGGCACAACTCCTATTGCTGTAAAAATTATGGTTCAAAAGCTATTGCAACTTTTGTGATTTTCCCTATAAAATATCATAGCTACTCCTAGGGATGTTGCAATACCACTGTATTTCCGATATTTGGTATCGATACTGTATCGCAAAACAGTATCGATACCGGCTCAGTATTGGAACTAAAGTATCAATACTGTCATTATCGTATCCATTCGATACCAGTGACGTCATATTCTGATTAACTGATCTCTGATTAAAGTTCACTAGCTCCAGTACAGTACAGTACAGCCAATATAGGATTCGAGCTGCTAAGAACTACCTAATTATATAAAAAAGTTGATAACAACTAACCAAAGATAGCCAACCTTCGTTTTCAATTGTACCTTCAAGTAAAAGTTCAAGTACCTTTAGTACCTTATGTTCTATGCCTATATAATTTATCTTTTTAATAGACAATTTTATTACATTACCAACATACACACACATTTGTGCGTGTTTACCATCAACCTAAATTGAAAAAAGGAGATTTAGTTAAAAAAAATATTAAGTGTCATCTATTAGTTTGATGTTAGTCCATGGTTTCATTTTATTTGCTTAACACAACGTTGCTAAATGCTAACATTGGGTTGTAATGAAAATAACTCTTTGCAACCAAACCATTAAGTTTTACTTCAAGCTAGACAAAAATACTAAATATTTGGGTGAATGATTGTTTATTTTTTGGGTCACTGTTGCTCCAGCCTTGGAAAATAACGGCTCAGAAGGCACGAGCTGGGCCGTTTGACTCAGGTGATATTTCCTTCTGATACGATACTGGCCTCTTGGTATCGATACCAAGTAAATATCAGAACAACCGATACCAGCAGAATCGCAATAAAAGTATCGATACCTACTGGTATCGATAGTATCGCCACATCCCTAGCTACTCCTATCACTTACCCATGATAAAGGTTGTTTGACAAGCGAATGGGAGAAAGTGTGTGTCAGATTGCTGATACCATTTATTTAATTAGTACCCTACTTTTTTTCTCTTGATTTGACATTCAATCATAAAATTTTATAATTATTATACGCAAACTGAATATAATTATATACGGTACACCATGAGAATATGAGGACAAAATGGGAATTTCAACATAAAAAAAAAACTAACGGAAATATTTTTAGCCTTTATATTTCCACATGAAAAAACTTGCAGTCTAAGCACTGGGCACTAGAGTGACAAGTCTGTTGCTATTTTCTGCCAATTCTGTCAATGATACTCTGCCTCTCTGTTTGACAAACTTGGCTACAGCTTCCAGCTCTTCTTGACTTATGTAGATAAACTTGCCTCGGTCATCAATAACCCCTGAAACGCAAAAAAAGCTGATAAAAACTTACATATGAAAACGCTCTTTCCAGGCCTATGTATTTTGAAGCCATGTGGCCCCCAGCAGCTCACTCCAGAGAGGTCCCTTCGTTCTGATTCTTCAGTAGTTATAACTTGGGGGGTTTACAAATACACGTGGTATTGCTTTAACTCAATAACCTCTACCCTTTCTTGTTTTTGATCCGATCAGCGAATAGACCTAAGAGGTCTGTAATCATTTATAATTCAAAGGATGTTCACGGGTTTGCCGTGATCACGAAAGACAATTGTCTCTGCAACTGTGGAAGATGTTCACAGTTTCACTGTGACTGCAAAAGATTTTTTAGATTTTCTCATGATCGCAGAAGATGTTCATGATTTCATTGTGACGGCAAAAGATGTTCCTAATTTTGCCGTAGCCTTGAAAACTTTTTGTGATTTCACTGTGACCACGCCAAGTTTTTGTTTTTACGATTGCAAAATAAAACTGCGAAGATGTGCGGTGAAAAATTTATCGGCGATCCCTGGGTACTATGTTCACTTCGTACTAACGATTAAAAAAAATATTATAATTTCCAAAGTGAGGTAATGGAGTTCCATCCTCAACAGATATAAATCTACACTATTTCTTATGGTTCATTATTGTGAAGGATAACTATTTTTCAATTTTAGATAAAATGAACTTTTCCATGTTTAGACTTGTTCTGTGTTTAGACTACACTATGTTTCAGGATGTAAGGTAACTCCTCATGTTTTTAAGTGGCCTAAATATGTAGGCTACATTTATCTAACTATCCTAGAACCTGACGTAGCTATACCATACACTTCAGTGTCAAATTCAAAACATCTTCATTTGTTCATGTATATAAAATACAATAATAGTGTCATAGCAGTTCAAACTTAAAACTAACCTATTACATTTCGGATACCCCCGCTGCAGCAAACCTGCATACTAATTTCCATTTAATTCCAATTTTCCATTCCATCCGAATTTCCATTTACCGGGCTGGACTTCTACTAAAAACTGTATTCCCTTCAAATCGTCAGATTTATTTCCGATTTAAATAACATTAATTTTAATGAGTACTGAGGTTTGCTGCTAGAGGAAAGATTGAGGTGTTATTTTTCTTTTTGAAATGTTGATAGCTTAGAATAAAATTAACATAATTTCCAAATTTGATAAAAATATATCCATAAACAAGCAAACTACTAAAGTTTTTTTATTCTCCATAAGAAAAAAATGGGCATTTTTAATTTACCATTTTTTTTTTATTATCTCAGTAACCGTTAGGCATACAACAGCATTTCAACGAACAACATTATTTTTTAAGTTCTACAAACTGGTTTAGGAAAGAAATTGGGAAACTTTGTGATTTTAGTGTCAAAAATGGGAAAAAGCAATTTTTCCCCATAAACCCCCATACACCCCTGTTCCCATAGTCCGATCATGCTGGTTCACGAACTCGTTCGAATAAACGTAGGTTTACACATTTGTACCAAATTTCATACAAATCGGATCATTTTTGCTCGAGTTATTGCGCTAACGGACAAACATATATATATGAATTTGAACGGAGGGTGTTTTTGGCCTCTGGGGACCTTAAAACAAAAAAGTTAATTGGTCCCAGGTCTAAGTCTTACCATGAGACCTACAGTAATAGCTTATTCCCTATATGGGAAATTCACTAATAATTTTTAAAATAGTTGAACAGCATTCACATTACTCTTAATTTATATAGCTCTTTAAAAGAATAAAATGCAATCTATATATATAATACGCTAAGCGGATTTTTGTGAACTGAACTCCTCCCTTATTTTTGGACCGATTTTGATGATTAAAGTGTCAAAAAAATTGCCCTGATCTGTAGTTTTGCAAAGTGTTTTTCGTTTTTTGATATCTTTATTAGTTTGGTCAGGATCTTCCATCAAAGTTGGGTTTTCTCCCATAAGATTAACATGGGGGAATCTAAATATTTAATTGGAAACTTTGTCTCCACTAATTTGAGAGAACGGCTGGGCGTAGAAACTTTAAATTAAAAAATTACATCTCAGAGTCCCGGTTAGATAAAAACAACCTAAATCTCGGAAATCTAAAGATTTTTCATCAAAATATTCCAAATTTAATAACTCGAATTGAACAATTGGAAGTATCAGTACCAGAGATAGATCCTGATATAATTGTTTTAACAGAACATAACATGAATAACTATGATATGGAAAGATTTAACCTTGATAACTACAAAAAAATAGCTCATTATTCTCGCACCACAACAACTGGAGGAGGTGTTTTAATCTTATCAAAGGAGAGCATAAAGGGGAAACCACTGCTCTGAAAAATGGCAGAAGAGCTTTGCCAAGATAAATTGTTGGAGTTTTGTTGTGTTAAATTTAAAGTAGATAATTTCCACTTTTTGCTGGTAGGAATTTATAGAACCCCACAGTTTGAAAACTCAGAGTTTTTAAACCGACTAAATAAACTAATTAATAATCTAGTAAGAAAAGAAAAAAATTTGATTATAATTGGGGACTTTAATATTGACACTCTTAAAGATTCACCAGAGCTAAAAGAGTTAAAAAGTATTCTCCTGAGATGTGGTATGAATTATATAATAGATTTTCCCACAAGAGTCACAAATACCTCAAAAACTTGCATAGATAATATTTGAACTAACATTAATAAGGATCAAATTAAAACTGAGGGTATTGTAACAGCCTTATCAGATCACGACGGTCAACTCATGGAACTACTCACATGTCCTAAAAAGATAGATAATACTACTCTAAATTACTGGGGTAGAAATTTTTCTGTAGACAATATGAAACTGTTCAAATCATTATTGGAAAAAGAAAATTGGTTAACTCTTTTTAATTCAAATATAGAGAGTAAATATGGCACGTTCCACAATATTTTCCAATATTACTTTAATTTATCTTTTCCAAAAAACAGGAAAAAAATTTACAAGCACCAAAACAGCAAAAATTGGATTACAGAGAATCTAAATAAAAAGAACAAAAATGATCTCATTGAATTAAACAACCTAGTTAAAGAATCTGGGTCAGAGGTTCTTAAAACTCAATTAAAGAAAAAAACGCAGCAATATAAATTAAATGTCATGAGTGCAAAACGTAATTATTATAGTGATAAAGTTAAAACTCTGAAAATATAAGTAAAACTGTGTGGGAAATTATTAATAAGGAGACAAGAAAAACTCCAGCCAACTTACAACAAAATCATGTTTTAAAACTAGGTAATCTCAAACCCATTGCATGTTGCCAATAGTTTTAATAACTTTTTGTCAGTATAATTGAAAATATGTTAGATGATAGATCAAATCAAGCTGTTGGTTCTATGAAGGAAAGTAATAAACAGATCCCAACTTTCAGGTGTCCGCCAATTGACGAAAGTGATATAAATAAAATAATCGACGCTCTTAAAAATAAATGGTCCAGTGGCTTTGACGAAGTTCCAATAAAGATTATGAAATATGCTAAGGAGTCCCTATTAAAACCCTTAAAGCATATAATAAATTCTTCCTTTATTTCAGGCATTTTTCCAAAACAACTTAAAATCTCTAAGGTCATACCAGTGTACAAAAAGGGTGAAGAATCGGATATTCAAAATTATAGACCAATTTCTATTCTTCCATCTATATCAAAAATTTTTGAAAAAGCAATGCAATTAAATCTCATAAGACACCTAGAACTATATGATCTTTTTAATCACGAACAACATGGCTTTCGGAAAAATAAATCCACTACCACTGCTTTAATAAGTTTTGTTGAATCAATCATAGAGTCATTAGATAAGCAAGAGAAAGTTACCGGAATTTTTATGGACTTATCCAAAGCTTTTGACAGTATTTCCCACCCAAAAATGATTGACAAACTTAATAGTCTAGGAATCAGGGATTCATATTTAAAATGGTTTGAATCATACCTAACTGATAGAGAACAATATGTAGAAGTATCAAGAACTGAGAAAAATCAAGTCATTAAATTTCAGTCTACATCAGAAAAAGTTAAATATGGAGTACCCCAAGGGTCAATACTTGGACCATTATTATTTATCTGCTACATAAGTGATATGCCGAATTGCCTAAGTAAATTAAACTCTATCAAAAATCAGCTCTGTTTGTACGCCGATGATTCAAACCTTATAATGTCTGCAAAAACTGATATAGAATTAGAAATTCACTCCTTTGTGGAGTTAGCAAAAATTAAAGATTTCTTTATCACTCACGATTTAATTTTGAACACTCAAAAGACTAACTGCATATCATTTTGCACTAAACAAAGACAAATTAAAGAGGAAATAAATATTTACATAGATAATGAAGAAATTATGCAAGTTGAAAATACTAAATTTCTTGGCCTTATCATTGATAGAAATCTGAGTTGGGATATGCACGTGGATAATGTCTTAAAGAAAATTAACTCAGGAATCTATGCCATCAGAAGACTGTATTATCTCTGCGATACGAATGTATTAAAAAGTGTTTATTTTGCCAATGTTCAATCCCATGTTTCTTATGGGATCTGTGTCTACGGTGGAACATCTGCTCAAAATTTGACAAAGATACTAATAGGACAGAAAAGAGCATTAAGGGCCATATTAAACTTTAAGAACAATGAATCTGTCAAAACTTTCTTTACTAAATTTGAAATTTTGACTGTTTACAGCTTATACATTTTAGAATGCATAATGTTTGTAAAAAATAATATAAATAGTTTTATTACAAATAAAGATATCCACAGCTATAACACTAGGAATAAAAATAAAGTAGTATTACCAAATCATAAATTAGAATTGTTCAAAAGAAAAACTTCATACAACGGTATCAGATTCCTAAATCACATACCAGATCACATAAGGAGCATGCAGGATGATAGAGGCTTCAAAGTGAAATTGAAAGAATTTTTTATACAGAGGGCACTTTATTCATTTGATGACTTTTTTAAGTTTAGAACAGATAATAGATCTTAAAATTCAGACCAACCAT